TTTTTGTAAAAATGATTTAGTTCAGAAAAAAATATTGGGGTTGTATCCCACATCTAATTATGTTTCCAACTAGGGACCTCTAACATATTAACACTTAATTTTTAGAGTGTTTGAATAATGAGTTTATTTTCTATTTTTACTCATTATAAGATCTTAAATAAAAATGTGGGGTAAATGTACTTTTTTGAAAATATCTTATTTGCTCTCCAGCAGCTTATTTAAAAAAAATTGAGATCTGTTTTTAAAAATTTATATATCACACACTTTCGAAGAGTTTATAAGCTTTAAAACATCTTATGAGCTCCTTTTAACATCTTATAAATTTAGCCAAAACACCGTCTTAATATCTTCATTTTTTCATGTAACATATTTTATTTTATTTTTACTGACTTTGTCAGCTCTATTTTTCTCTTTTCATTCTAGCATTTTTTACATTTTTATAAAAAAACTTATGTTTTTCCTTATTTTTTACATTATATTAAAACATATAGAAATAAAAAGTCGTTTTTGTTTAATAATATAGCATATTGTAAAAATAATGTGGTGTAGTATGATATATTATGGTGTACTTTGATTTCCCCGAACCCTATTACCCAATAACTCTTAGTCGCTGCCAAACGCTAACACCCAATGTTTTCCGGCCGTCGTCAAACCGGCAGCCAACAAATTACAGTCGTCGCCCAAACCCGAGGCAACCAACAATCCCCTACCGTCGGCAAATCATATCTACCAAAACCTAGCCGCCGACAAAATTAAACCCCAGCAGCCATAGCTTGGACAAGAAGACCGTCAATATTGTCGTGGTTCTATTGACACTTCTGAATTTTATGCTTACCCCTATTTTGATCAAAGGTTGATGTGCCATCACCATACATAGAAGACATGTAATCGAATTCTACTTTGAGTGTCGTTCGATGTCCTTTAGGGTCGTCTTCTGCTCCTCCAGATACATAATTTGCAACAATGTGTTAGTTGGTTTAAGTCATTCACAACATCAACAAGTGACTCGACATTTTCACCGATGGCTTTGTCCTTCCCAAATATTGTTTGCCAGTCATAGCACTTCTGTCAATTTTGCAGTTTTATCACTATTAATTATAAGATAACTAGACAAAAATTTAATAATGAGGGTATTTTCATAATTTTATATATTATTCGCTACAATCCATGAATATTTATTGGTTTTCTTAACAACCTAAAACAACAACTAAAATGGGGAAGAGTTGGTAGTTTGTATAATTATTTGTCGTTTTATTGTTTTATTTTTACCGATATCGCTTATTTTATAGATATTCTCATTATTCCCTCTTTATTTCTATCTACAAAGAAATCCTCTCAACAATTTCGTTCTAAATTCATTAAAAAAATTATCTTATTAAAATAATTTTCAGACAAAAGTTTCTTCATCGAATGAGATAGGGATCTACTTGGAGGAGGTAATACTCCAATATTTAAGATTGCATAAATTTAAAAAAAAAAATATTAACAGAATAAAAAACATTGCCTCCAACAACGTTAAACAACCAATTTACTTTGCCTTAACTCGCGAAGCCATGCTCAAATGTCTGTACAAAAACACCAATGTACCGATGCCGAATCTCCAAAAATAATCACAAATTTTATGAATATTGTCTATTAGTAGGCTGCAAATCGACTTTATCTTATGAGCTCTTACCAACGGACAATGACTCTCTAGCAATGTTCTAAAAATCGGCCGAGGCGGCCGATTAATCGGTCTCCGAGGCGGAGGCGGTGCAAAACCTTTACGATTTTAGTGTAAAGGTTTGAAAAATCGGTTTTTTGCATGTGAGGCGGTTTTAGGCGGTCCGAGGCGGTCAAACCTTTAAGGCGGGTCAAACTTTGGTGGCAAAAATCGGCCAAAAATCGGTCAAAAATCGTTATTTTTCTTAATAATTCAAAATAAAAGTTGGGATTTTAATAAAAAAAAAAATGAGTTTATGCTTTATTTTGTTTATGTTAACTATTTTTGTTAAAGAACTAATGATGTATGCCAGGAATGTATGTAATTTAAAAAAAATGCCTTTTTATTTATATTTTATAAGAATATTTATGTATTACGATCTTATTATTATTATTAAATTTTTATTATGTTATTAGGATATATACATGATGGAGATATAATTATGTTTAAATATTTTTTTATCTATGTTTTGAGTATTTATAAATAATACCTACAAATATATTATATTAAATTTTAAAAACCAATTTATTTCCGATTAATCACCGCCGCACCGATTAATCGTGAGTCGGTCCCTGACCGCCTCCGACCCGATTACCGCTTTTTACAACCTTGCTCTCTAGTGAGATAAATGATGTGTACTCGTGCTGATATTCTGATTAAAACTCAGAAACATCTCACAAAGAGTCTTGAGATGTCCTAAAATCGAATGTCTATCGTTATTGAACTACCAGTCATGCCTCTATATTTTACATGTATCGAAGATCCTCGCAACACTCTCTACCTGAGTATTTCGATATGCCGTAGTGTGGGGTCGTGCCCTACCAACTCGGAACCTATGATATATTGTACATTACGGAAGGTGAGATAATCTCTCCAAATGACATATGTGAAGTGTGTGTATATGGCTAAAAGCTCTCCAAAAACGCCTCCATCAGTGGATTGTTGTGTTGAAGATACACAATCTCGAAGATAGTACAACCACGTATATGCTCCAACAAAAGGGCCCCGCCAATTCAGACGAGCCGAAATGCGAGGCTGACTCACCATACCATGCTCTTGTACATGATACGCAATATGAACAATTAAGTTATGGCTGCGGCTATATGCAAGACTAATTCCACTTACGCAAGACCAAATTAAAATTTTCAATGTCTAGAAACTATAATACCCTTACTTGTTAAAAAAAATAAAAATTTCAAATGTGCAATACCAAAACCTCAAAAACAATAAAAACCCTATCACAAAACCACAAGACCAACTCTCATCTTCTCCATCAAAACCTTTCTCCTTCCTCATCTATAAACCCACAAAACCTAAACATTCAAAATCATCAAAACTCAACAAACCTTACAAAGATGGCAAGTATGGAGACATAAGACATCAAAATAGAAGAATCTACGGTGGAAAGACCCAAGAAAATATGCATTTATGTGTTTTTTTAGCTAGAATATCGTTTTTCCAAAAAAAATCCCACGCAGACGCAGTCGACATGTACATGTCGAATTTTATAGGCAAAAATCGACATTGAGATGTCGATTTTTTAGTACAAAATCAACACCTAGTTGAAATTTAACTGTTAGCAAAGTAGTCCAAATATACTAAATTTCGACATTAAGGTGTCGAATTTATGGACATGTATTCGATACCTTAATGTCGAAATTTAGTTGTTTCATATTTTTATTTTTATTTTTTAAATCCCGCGCAGACACGGTCGACATGTACATGTCGAATTTTATAGGTAAAAATCGACATTGAGATGTCGATTTTGGAGTATAAAATCGACACCTTAGTGTCGAAATTTAACTGTTAGCAAATTAGTCCAAATATACTAAATTTCGACATTAAGGTGTCGAATTTATGGACATATATTAGACACCTTAATGTCGAAATTTAGTTGTTTTATATTTTATTATTATTTGTTATTGGTCTTGCATGAGCAAACAAAAGTCAATTTAATTTATGGGTATATTTGTCATTTCATCTTAATAAAATGGAATCTTTCTTTTAATTTGGTCTTGCACAAGTGGAATTAGTATTGCATATAGCCGCAGCCTTAAGTTATACCATTAAGTTTAAAAAATTAAGATATGAAATAAAATTTAAAAGACAACTAGTTTCCCTCCTACATGTCGTAAACGTGTTACCAAAATTGTAATCAACTCAATATCAGTATAATCACCGAGTGTTGGACTAGACAACCGTCATCCACGAGTAGCAGTTGAGGGAGTAGTAGTCGAGAGAGTTGGAGGCAGGCCAACACATCCTCCGTCAGCAATCAACATCGTCGACACCGGCAACATTATAACCTCAACTATAGAATTGTCTAGGCCGTAAATTGAAATGCATTTGAAAGTCTAAACGGTGTATCTAGAAAACGACTGTATGCCAATAAACACCTCTTGGCAGCAACATAGTGAACGAGGGTCTCATTTGTACTAGTACTACTTATTTCACATTTCAAATTGTTTCTCTATCTAACACTCAAAAACTCTCTTAAAACCTCCCAAACTTATCAGCTCACAAATCCTCTCAAAACCTGAAAATTGTTGAAGATAACAAGGCAATTTCTACATATTCATGCTTACATTTCGATTATGTTCTGTTTTTTGTTTTCATATGATCTGGAGATGAAAAAAATGGATTTTTGGGATTTAGTTTTTGAAACTTCATCTGCCCACACCCAATTTTTTTTCAAATTTTGTCGGCCAACGCCCAAGATTTGGGCACGGAGAATGCGATCCAACACCCAAGTAAGCATAAAATTGAAATGTCCACACCTAAATTGGGCGTCAATAACCCTAATCCACAACCAACTTGGTCGGGAAATAGGATTTAACCTAGTTTGAGCATAGAGATTTCAATTCCAGGCCCAAGTTGGGTTTGAATTCCAGTTGGGTATTTGACGAAAAACAATTATTTTCTTGAGGCGGGCATCTAGGACACCAAGTGCCAAATGAGCTAGAATTATTTTTTTTTTGAGTATCGTCGACATCTTGCATCGTTTACGTGAGATAAATGTAATAATCTGATACAAGGATCCGAACATTCTATCAACTAATTAATTAATTTTTTAATAGAAAAATAGTACAATCTAATTCAATTCAAACTAATTCAATCATGTAGAGTTGTAGACAGTGGTCGCATCACGTAGCTAAGCGGCAGATGAACCGTATGCGAAAAAATACCGACTTGCCCATTTTGCAGGCAGAAAAGCCTAAAACTCTATGTTCTCATATACTTAAATGCCACAATTTTCTTTCGGGCAACGAATGTATTTTGAAACGTTAACACCGTATACTAAAAAGCAAATATCAATCCCATATTCCAACTGTACCTAATAAGATCGAAATATCATTTCAAGGTTACTTATACATACAATTCAAATCACTTGATTATGCATTTCTAGAGTAAGTTCTAAAAAGTGTAAATAACTGCATGAATCAAATCATACCTACTTCACGAGAAGACTTCAGTATTGTCGTGTATGATATATGTTAAAAACAAAATAACTCTTTAATAGTTTGTGGTCAAACTCATATACCAGCGGAATGTGAGATACTCTTGAGGGCTTCCTCTTCCATTTGAAGCAGGTGTTGACAGAATATTTCTAAATCGCGTGCCTCGTCTTTGAACGTGAATCGTAACTCTTTCCATTGATACTCACGAGAACCATCCTCGTTCAACGAACCGAGAACTTTTCCCAGCACTTCAAATCCCTTCCTATCTGCTGAAAGAAGAAAAGCATCCTTCGACCCAAAACCACAAACAAGTCAGTAAATACGCATACCGTATAAGGGGATAATACACAGCTGCAAATAGTAAAAGAGCATTTGGTTGCATTACCATAACAAAAGAGAAGACAGCACACAAAGTTCAAAGTTTAATACGCTTAAATAAAGTCCCGGGGTTTTTGTCTGAATATTGGTTAGAGTTCGTTAATCTAGCAAGAATTACTAAAACGTATTTCTAGAATGCGGGTGAACTCTCTCTTTAACCACTGACCTGATGCTCGATATGTACCATAAACCGTTGGGAAAAAATTAAGTTTCACTTGGGTTATTATTACTTTCTCTTGATTTCATATTCCATTTCTAAAACCTATTGATTTCTTAGTTCAGACAGAAAACAGATACATAGATCATAAAAATGTAATATTTCAAGAATTGCGTGGGCACTAAGGCGGCACCCGGAATTTATTGGTTACTATACTAAGCTTAAAGCTGTACGAATTAATTTGCTATAAAGATCAAACTCAAAAGGTTATAAAATGGGAACCAAAACGTAAACGCACCTAAGAAATAATCATTACTACTTGGCCAATTTATCAACATGAGGCAAGTGAGGTAATACCTTTGCATTTTCATTTAGGAAAGCAATGCAGAAAAGAACTAGAGCTCGACGCCTCGTTTCACTTCGATTAATTCCATCAATCAGGCTCGTCAAAAATGGAGCTACACACACACCAAAGTGTAAAGATGTTAAGTCAGAATATAGATTTTATTATGTAATAAGCTCGTGTTATGAGATAAGACCATCAACTTTATTACAAAAGAAAATAGGTATTACATAAAGGATCCGCCTTAGACTTTTCCATATCCTCGAGATTTACTTCATGAGTTGCGCCCTTGCCATCAATATACATGCACGAACTGCATAGTTTAAAGTGCATCAATTGCCAGCAAATTAGGGTAAATTACAACCACCTCCCTGAGGTATGGTCAAATTACGAAAACCCCCATCATGTTTGGGTAATTACAACCACCCCCCTCAACTATAAATCTTCTTACACATCCACCCTTGCGGTTTCAAATTTAGTGGAATCTTCGAGATTATATGGAATATTATCACTTTTGTACCCGCTTTATCCCATTCGAACTCCACATTTTGAAGCAAGATGATCATATATCAGACTGTGGTGCATTAGAAACTGTATTTTTACACAAAACGAGTACAAAATAGAGCACATTCCACGAAATCTAGATGATTATGTTGAATTTGACACCATAAGGGTGGAGGTGTAAGAAAAAAATCATAGTTGAGGGGGTTATATGTAACTATCCAAACAAGAGGGGTTTTTTCGTAAATTGACCATACCTCAGGGGTGGTTGTAATTTACCCCAGCAAATTAATGTCTGGTTGTACAACTAAATTGTTCGAACACGTAGCTCACACAGTAATAATTTAAGAATTATCTTTACATGAGTTCACTCACAATGCCGTTTAATAATACATAGTAAAAGGGTTTTTTTTTTTCTGAAGATTCTAACCTTATATTGAACCTGTACACCGAGTATTGATCGTTGCCTTGGAATAAGTCCTGCAGATTTTCAATCCGAGAAGTGGAATTAAATTCGGGCGAACTCAATATTCCAGAAACTGAATAGCTCGACTCATTGACAGCTCTCTGGTATGCTAATACAGTTTCCCTAAGGCTTTCAGCCGCTGAGTTAGCCTGTGACAACAATAAGAAAGAACAGTAAGCTCGTAAAAATATTTTCTGTGACTCGATATTTACTATGGAAACTTCTTTTCTCATGCAATTCGTTACATTGCAGAATCAGTATTTTAATAGTTTTAAATCAGTCGATTTTCTAAACCATAATAACGATATTCTGATACCGCAAAAAAATATGCATTAGCATAAGCAGATTGCAAGTAGTACTAATGTTGATGAAAAAAAATAGTGCTCGGTGAAAGTTAGAATTCATATTGCCAATTAGTCTAACATATCAGCATCGAGAAGAAAAAGTTTCGATATAGCGACAACAATATTATAAAGTGTTATCTATCAAACAATTATATACCTTTTCATCTTCGAGGCGCACGACATCACCAACAAGAGCAACCCTAGCTGGTAGCTGCATGATATAAAGGATATAAAGGAATTAATATCTTTGGACTTTTATGGTGCAAACAAATTTCAAGAAAAATGTTTTACCAAATTCCCACCTTTCTTATTGATTTAAGTATTTGTACAAGTGGGCCCGGAAATGGGCTGCTCACGGCAAAAGAGCCACGTTCGTCAACAATAGTGTTCTGTAAAAGAAAAAGAAAAAAGATGAGAAGAAATGACAACTTATTAATAGAAAACCTGACTTAGCTCACATACTACTATAACAAGCAACTTGTTTGACTACTTATCACTTTTGTTTTATCTATATGCTGAAAGCTTAGCTTCAACAGACAAACCGATATTTTTTGGAGATCGGTCGGTCTACAAGGTTGACCTTGTTTATAACAAAGAAAAAAGTCGACTTGAAGGAAATGATATTTATTTACTGTATTAATTCACATAATGCACAAAAATTGTGTTGGCTCAAGTATAACTTTTTTAATGAAGAAATGTTGTGCGGAACCGAGTTATATAGCAACTAAATTACATAGGAAATGCATTATATTAGGAAATATGACGTGTTAAAGTATTCTCTTGCAACAAAAACAAGAAAAGTAGATGCTTCTTTAAGAACTTTAATACACTATAAGGCATCGTTTGCTTAGTTCTACTAAGTTCTATTAACTAAATAATAAGGGCTAGCAAGATGTTTGGTTAATAAGATTCGTGTTTAGTCAAATCCGCTACTACACTTAAAGTCCTCAATTAAATGCTACTATTTGGTTAAATTAGTAGCACCTCTCCCCTCTGAAATTAATTTTGTAGGGGTGATTAAAAAACGATATCCTTAAAACAATATCTTAATTTTGTTAATTAAAAAGTTTTTAGGCATTTCATATTTAATAACAGAGTTTAATTTAAGGATTCAAACATCTTACTGACTAAATAATTAGTTACTCAGTAGGATATTAATCCAATCTCACTTAACCCAATGTCTAATGAAGCTAAAGAGTAAAGAACATACTAGCATTTTGGACAGAGATTTGCAAACTGATTAGTAGAGAGGATTCATTATTGGACCGAAAGCAGTCATATTTCACCAACTATTACATACAATTAGGCCTCGTTTGGTTGCCAAGATAAGATTAAATAATCTAATGAAAACCCAATTATTTTATCGGACCCCGGAACATCCCACAAAAAAACTCCCTAAAAAGCAAGATAAGGCAAGTTAAGCCATGATAACATAATATTTGCGGGTCGACCCGGCAAGTTATTGTGGATACCAAACATCAAACAACGTCCAATAATTTAGTTAATCATGGCTAATCTCCCCAACCAAACGAGTCAATCCATATATCGTAAAAGACAACATGCATATTTCGTATTTCGAACGCCATTACAGAATAGCGGTTATTAACCTGAGTAACACACCTAAAGCAACACTGGCCATGAAAAAAAATCATAATTCCAATAGAAGCAAAAGCAACCGTGCGTACCACATTATGCAACTCCTTCTCGGGTACCCAAATATACGGCTTTCCTTTCTTCACAAAATACTTCACTTTCGAACTGTAAATTTCGTCCTTGCTGAATCCAATTAATCCACCATATTTTATCAGACAACCAAAACCAAAAAATAACATATATATAACAATCAATTCGAATTCGTAACACAAAATACCTTCCTTGGGCATCAGCTTTAATGGTGTTAAGGTTACCTTGCCAATTAGAAGCCAGTATATTCTGCAAAAAACATATACATAATTCATATATACAACCTTGAATTTCTGGGCCAATTATGCAAAAATGAAACATAAATTGATAATAAAACCTTGCATTTCTCGGCCAATTTGATGGCGGATGATTTCCCCCCTTTCATCATGATTTGATTCCCTCGATTAATCCACCAATTTTGTGGGTTTAAGAAACGAGCTTTAAGACTGTTAGGGTTTTAGGAGGGTTTTAGGAGGGTTTTATGCTTCCTCTGCAAAATGGGGAGGGAGGTTCATTTTAGTTTTTTCAGCGGCTCACCTCTCTCATTATACTTCCATAGTCTTACCTACACATGTACTTAGTCCTTTTGTTTATTACATATTTAGGCTTCAATTACATGACCAAATTAATTCCAATTATATTCATTATTTATTACCTAGTTAATTAAAATTGCTATTATTTTTTTTTTTCTAAGAGAACATACAGAAATATGTATAAACACATGTTGGAAAAGAAATGAGCAATAAATTATATGATTATGTTGGTTTGACATCTTAACAAAGGAGATGTTGTGTGCTTTTGAAAAATAGCATAGTAAAAAATTATGGAATCATGTTGCTTTAAGTAAACATTATAAAATTAATTTTGCAGTTAAATATTGCAATTAAATAATCCATCATTCTTGTATAAATATAAAATGTTCTTTCAAGCCAGCATTGTTAAACATAAATAGTCCACAATTTTTTTGTTTTAATACAAAATTTTATTTTAAATCACATGCATAATTAACATTATAAAATTAATTAAACACGTGTGAGGCACGTGCTATTTTTATAGGTGCTTAAAAAATAAGAAATATTGCATTTTTTTCTATTAGTATTATTTTATACACTAAACTAACTTGAATATATTATATACATACTATTGTTCTTGCACTATTTATTTTTACCACAAAACTTGGAACAAATAAAATTTAAAAAAAAAAAAATAAGTTGAAACGATATATTATATTGTATTTCTCATTTCCTTGACATTATATATAAATTACAGACAATCTACCATAAAAAGAAAAAGTTAAACAATCATTTTTTTTATTTCCCACACAAAAGTTAGAACACTCACGGGCACACCACACAACAAAAGAAATAAAAAGATAGAAAAAATAAAATGATTGTATATATATATATATATATATATATATATCAATTTACGAAAAAACCCCTCTTGTTTGGATAATTACATCTACCCCTCAACTATGATTTTTTCTTTTATCTCCACCCTTATGGTGTCAAATTCAACATAATCATCTAGATTTCGTAGAATGTGCTCTAGTTTGTACTCGTTTTGTGTAAAAATACAGTTTCTGATGCACCACAATTTGATATGTACATGCGAAAAAATACATATTATGACCATCTTGCTTTAAATTGTGGAGTTCGAATGGGATAAATCGGGTACAAAAGTGATAATATTCCATATAATTTCGAAGATTCCACTAAATTTGAAACCGCGAGGGTGGACGTGTAAGAAGATTTATAGTTGGGGGTGATTGTAATTACCTAAACAAATATAAATATAAATACATATATATATATATATATATATATATATATATATATATATATATATATATATATATATGTGTGTGTGTGTGTGTGTGTGTGTGTGTGTGTGTTTATTAGTTTTTTTTTTCTTTTTTTCCTAATTCGGGATTAAAATATCCCGATCGGGATTGAACCAATTCTCGAATCCCGATTCCGTATTTGTTCCTAATCCCGATGCCGAATCCCGTAATCCCGAATTCCCGAAGTTTCAGTCACAAATAATAAAATTCCGATCGGGACGGGACGGGATCCCGAATCCCGATCCTAAATTAAATTTTTAATAATATTAAGTATAAATGAAATTTCTAATTATTTATATATATATATATATATATATATATATTTGATTTTGATTTTTAAGGAGTTTTAAGGTTAGGGATTTGTTTTATGGTGTATGAGAGTTTCTAATTATTAAAAGTATTTTTCTAGATAACTTACTTTTTTTACCATTAAAAAATTTATTATAGGTAGTATGCTTTATATTTTCAATTATTTTTCAGCTCTAAAAAAAATTCAATTTCAATTTTAGCCCTAAAATAGTGTTTTTCGTTACTTGCTAACGAGTATGACTAAGTGTAATTTCTTTTGTCAAAAATGATTTTCCAAAAAGAAATCTATTTAATACATGACTAAGTGTCAAATAAATTTATTCACACCCATCATTTAATGTATGTTGAAGATATAAACATAAATTTATTCACATTTTTTTAATTTTATTTTAATTGTGCACTCTTTGAGTAGCCTGCTGTTGGTATACATTTGATGTTGGCGGCAGATTTCCACGAGTAAAGAAATCCGCCACACTTGGGAATTAAAGATTGGCAATGATTTGTATTCCATGTTTATTTTGGAATTTATTAGAGTCCTACTTTAATAATACTTTTATTAGGACTTAGATTTATTATTTCCATGTACTTTATTTTAGTTAGGTATCTTTTGTATTTATCTATAATAGAAGTAGAGATCGATTAGGAGTCTTTGTTCTAGGTTAATCGATTTCTTTGGGTACAAGATAAGTCTTGGAAGGCTGATCTCGCATTTATATAACGGTCCTAGACTCACAAGAACCGTACATTTTTTTGGGAGAAAAATCACTCCATAGCATTGAAGAATTGCCGAGATGTTTTGTTGAGCAGGACTGTGCCGTCGTTGCATGTGTCAACAGATACAAATTTGCTGTATAGATCTCAAGAGAGATCAACCGCGTTTCTGAAGGGAGTTCCGGTTTGAAGTGAGTTCGAGGAACGCGGTGTGGAGCTGCTGTTAGAAGAGACACGAAGTTCAAGTTGTGTACAAGAACGGCATAAAGAATTAAAGATGGAGTCTTAATTGTTTTTAATAAGTCCTATTAATGTACACTATAAATTTGAACTAGTGATATCGTGTTTGCAGATCCACGTGGATGTAGGGCACAATTGTGTCTGAACCACATTAATTTTTGTGTCTTTTTTATCACTTTCAGTAGAATATAACTGTGTTAACACAAGAATTATAGTTGTAACTAAATACTGTTTCGATAACTCAAACCGTTACTAGTTAGGATTAACTGAATTTATATGCATATAAATCAACACTATAATTTATAACTGCAGACGAGTAATAAAATAGGCTGGTTGATATGGGATATTATATTATGCATTCGTGTTGTATGAATGAATGGATTGATAGTGACAGTGTGGGGAGGCAGATATAGGGTTTTCTGGGTAGATCGGACGGAGGACATAGAAAATTCGTGTAGGTTGGACCCGTAATCGACTATTGAAGGTTTAATCGACTATGTGCTTAGTCGATTAAGGTTTATTCGACTATATATGTTCAGTAGTCAATTAGGGTTAATTACTATGTTTTTTAATTCATTTTTGGATTTTTGAATATTGATCCCCTATTTCGCCACGTGTAATTGGACTTGGGGCACATCGATGGTGTGTTTGTGTTATGCGGCCATTGTCAATCCATCGTCCATCTATATAAATCAATACAATATTTGTATATTTGTTATTTTGTAAAAAAATAGTTGATTTTTGTTTTTTTAGTTGTTTTTGTTATTTGTTTGGATTCTTTTTGTTGAATCGTATCGGGCTTTCATTGACGACATTACCGTATTTTTTTTTTGTTATTTATAGTAGTCAATTTCATTATTCAACCACGATTTTAGGAGTCAGTTCATTAATCGACTATGGTGGTGTTTGTAAATGCTTTTTGAAAGTGATTATGCGGTTTTTTTTTTTCTCATAATCTGCTTTTAGGTGTTTGCAAAATCAACTTTTGCTTTTGCTTCTCTTAAAATAATCTGCTTTAAGCTATTTTTTTAAAAGCACCCCTAACCATGCTTTTTCAATTTTAGTTCATTTTTCGAAATTTTTGCAAACACCTCCAACTTTTAGAGATAAGCACTTAAAACTAACTTAAATCACAATCACTAACTTCTGCTTTTAAATAATCATTTGCAAACACCACCTATGTCTTAGTCGATTAATATCGTAGTTGATAAGTACACCTAACAGTTAAAAAAACGATTAATTTAAAAAAAAAATTAATAAAATAAAAAAGAAACTAAAAAAAATTAAAAGAATAAAAATAAAAATAAAAATGATAAAATAATAATAAATAATTATAAAATTATAAACGAAAAAACGAAAAAATTAATTAAGAAAATGAGAATCAAAAAATGGGGATGGGTGTAGTGGGAAGAAGATAGTGGAGGGGCAATTTTGGGATAATAAACGAAGGGAAATGAGCATGAGCTTTTCTCCAATGATGCAAAATAGTTTGGGCATCTCCGTTTGGGCATCTCCCCATTGTTGCATGTATTGACGTTTAGTAGCTTCGCAAGGGATGGTCTAGCGGTTGGAGCAAGTGAGACTTTGTCAATTGTCCCAGGTTCAAATAACCTTCTCAATGGTCGCTAGGTAGAGCTTGTTACACATGGTTAGCCTAATGTGGTTTATCTCTCTCGTATGGTTTGCAAGCTATTACAGTGAATTGTAGACAATTAGTAGGTTTATCCAGTTCACCTATATAATTAAATATTAGCTCCGATTCCTATCTTATAAAAAAAATGTATTGCCGTTATATTAAAGAACCCTAAATATAATTAAATAATTAAAAAAGAAAAAAAGAAAAAAAAATAGGATAAGGAGTTTCTTCTTCCACGTCAAACCCACAACCCCTCCCCAACAAAACATCTCCATCTTCTTCCCCGACATGTCAGATACCGCTGTTGCCGGCATCAGTTCTGACCTTCTCCAACATCGTCGCCAATTCGAGGTTTAATGACTCCGCTTCACCGAATCCATTGAAGAATAGCGAAATCCACCGCAAACCCCTCTCAAAATTGTCGTCTTCACTTGCAAATGGCCCACCTCTGTCGCCGCCATTGGTATTAGTTCAGATCTTCTCCAACACCGCCGCCAATTCGTGATCCGGCAAAGCAGGGATGGTGAAGTATGATCCAAGATTGGCTACGGCGACGGTGGGGGAAGCGAGATAGAGATGGGTTGAATCTCGAGTGGGTTTGAGATTTTTACGATGATATGAAGGTGGCGGCGACGACAGTGGTGAGTTGAGATGTGTATGTGTGCGCCGATAAATTAAATTGGAGTGTGCGTATTTGTATGTTTATGAGGCAATGTTTGGATAATTTTTTAGAGTTATTTTTATTTTATTTTGGGGAAGATTGTTTTGAGAATAATTGGAGAATTGAAATAATGTTTGTTTATAATTTGAATTGAGACAAAATACACAGTAATGATCAAATCATGTTTAAAAGTATTTCGAAAAATATATTGTAGAAGAAGAACTGTAAGAATAAATGATGTTTGTTTGTTTTTTAGTGA